CGGGGCTGCTGCGCTCCCTGAGCAGCGGGCTGGCTGGGGGAGGCCCTGGGGGCTCGGGCTGCGCCCCACGTGGACAGACTGGAAGCGCTGGGCCTCACGGGCTCGCTATCCAGGCTCCAGCTTTGGGGGGTTGCGGGCACCACTCAGGGGTGGAAGAGATGGCACGGAGGAGGGCAGTTACTTGGGGGCTGAAGTCAGGGAAGTGCAGCTGAACTTAGGCAGCTGCCAGGAGAAGAGGGATCCCGAAGAGCAGGGGGAAGGGGCTGGGCTGGAGAGGCCCGGTGGGAAGAGCCAGGGCAATGTGGAAGGGCTGGGCAGTGGAGGTACAGACTGCCCCCTTTCAGAGCTGGGTATGTGGCCAGGAGCTGCCCCCCAAACGGTCCTAGGAAGGCCTGGGAGGACAGTAAACTCAGGAGCTTTTCCTAGAGAGTGGTGACCAGCGAGCCCATCAGGAGGCAGTGGTGAGCCCAGACTGCACCACAGGTCCCTGCCCCGCTTCCTGGGAAGAGGAAGTGCTCAGGCTTCTGTCCCGAGGAGGGCTGCCCACATTCCTGCCCAGGCGCAGGGCAGGACGGTGAGTCTGGGTGAGCACAGGTCTCTGTGCGGGAGGAGTGACCAGCCTCCCACCACGTGGTGGCCGTTGGCCCCAGATGGGAAGGACTACTTTGCCGGGGGAGAGGAGTGGATTGGCTGGACCTGGGGGTCTGTGGGTAGCTCTGCAAGGGCAGCAGGGTACATGTGAAGTCTGCTGGCCAATTCCTCCTCCAAGTGGCTCCTACCAAGCAGCAGCGTGCCCTTCCTCTGCTGCTGTGAGCACCCATCGAGGCTGATCTGAAACAGCTGCAGCTGGGGAGACCCTGAAGAGTGTGCTTCCTGGTCTGGGCCCTGAACAGGAAATGTCAGCCCTGAAGGGACCCTGGGGCGGGTGGGAAGGAAGGTGCTGGAGCCTGGCCTTCGGGGAAGATGAGGTCGGCAGTTCTGGGCCCATGGTGGCCCAGGAACAAGGAGAACACAGGGGAATGCAGCAGTTGGGGCTCCTCTGGTTGGAGGAGGGCCCAGGTTCCCAGGGCCTCAGCAGGAGGGAGGAGGTTACAGGAGTGAGCGGCAGGCACCTGGCTGCTACAATGATTCTCTGCACAAAGAGCCACCAGGGGGCTTCCCAGGGCACCAACCTGGGAGGTGGGTCTGGGAGCTTCCCTGAGATACCAGAGGCACTGGAAGAATTGAAGGGCTCCACACGCTCACTGCAGGGGCCCAAAGGCACTGGAGCGAGTGAGGGCAGGAAGCTTCAAGGGGTGAAGAGCTGGCCAGGCCTGGATGGTTTCCCCCGGGCTGCTTGGTGGGCACTACATGGGCACCAGAAGCCCCCCTCACACTGGCCCTCAAGTCACTGCCTGACAAAGAAGAGGTAGAATCTGAGTGGGACTTGGTGCCCTGCCTGCCGGTGTGGCGACGGGTCTGCGTAGTTCCTGCCCTGGAAGGCCACTCGCAGGGCAGCTCCGGCACCAGTGTCCCTACTGGGCACCCACTAAGAGTGGCTGGCAGGGCGAGGTGTTCTCTGGCTCACCTCTGCTTGGAGACTTCTGCCCGCCCCACACCTGGGCGTGCCTGTGCCCGCTTCTTGCTGTAGCCTGCCTGGGGCCTGGAGCTCTTCTGAGTCCAGTCGGGGTGGGTTCTGGCTTGGCTATCTTGGCTGAGCCCATTTGGGCTCTCAGCTAGTTCTGAGGGTGCTCGGTTTGGAGTCACGGGCGCAGGAGCCCAAGCTCAAGGCACCCTTTTTGGCTGTGCTACCTGAGTCTGGGAGGCAGCTTCAGCCAGGGTCTCCTGGCCTTTGGGCCCCAAGGTTTGGTATCTTCAGGGAGAACACAGAGATGTGTCCTTTATGAATGAGCAAGGGGCAGTGACAGTGTGGATAGCAGACAGCACTCGGCGAGGAGGTGCAGTACAATACGGTGACAACTTTGGAGGGCTATTTCCCAGTGGACCAGGAGACACAGGCAGTACTGGTGGGATTGAGGGCCCTGAACTCCTAATAGCAAGAGGTGCCTTTGGGGCCAGCCCCACCCTCGTGACGGTACTGCCTGTGCCGGCTGACAAGCTCCCACAGGCTCTGACATCAGGGGCTTCAGGCCAGGGCCACCCCTCAGCTTGTGGGAGCGGACCACAGGGCAAAACCACCCACCTGCAGAACCCTCTCTACGGGCTGTCAGCCTTGTGCTGTGGGGCCGGGCCCTGCTGGCTCTCAGGCAGGCTTGGCAGCTGTTGGCCAGCATGACCACAGGAGAACTGTTGGGAATGCACTGTACTACGGCTTGCCCTCCCCATCCCTCTGTCCCGAGTGCCAGCGAGAGGGACCCGAGTCCCAGTACGTGTGAGCTCAGGCGGGGGCCGCTGGGGCAGCTGTGAGGGGAAGCCTTGTGGAGGGAGAGAGGCAGACAAACGAGCGCCACGCAGCTGAAGGTGGAAACACTGTGCACAGGCCTCGGCCGGGACTCTGGACAGACAGACCGACCCTGGGGAGTGGGGCCGGTGGCTCAGCCCTGGCCAGCTGGTGCTCAGGAACAGGAGAGAGACCCTCAGGATGGGCACGGGCAGGGGGTCAATGATACCTTTTTCAGCCGCAGACAGGTCGGGGTCGCTGCAGGGTTTGCAGGCTCCCACCACTTGCTGGAACAGGGCCCGCTGGGAACTGGGCAGCTGGTGGAGGAACAGCATGAGAGGGGAGATGCCGTTACATCCCGGGGGCATCACTGTGGTCCAGGAGCAAGGGTGCTCCAAGGACTGGGTGGGGACTCAAGTGGTGCATGAGGTGGAGGTGGGGGTGGTGGGGTCCTATGGGGTCTGGCTCGAGAGCTGTCATGGGCCCAAGAGCCTTTGTGGCATGTTCTCCAGTGTCTGGACGGCTGCCCTGTGCAGGGCCCGAGGAGGGGAGGCCCAGGTGTCTGCTGGGAAGGCCCACAGTCATCTCCTGTCCTGCCAGGGTGCGCACCCCACGCTGCTCCGCAGGCAGAAAGGAGGAGCACTGGCACATTGCACCTCCTGGGCCCCAAGGCCCATGCTGGCAGGAGGGGGATGACAGCAGCCCAGCCCAACCTTACAGACAGGCCCCTGCTGTTCTGACAGGCAGCTCCCTCTGCCTGGCATGGCTATGCCACCAGGGAGCAGTGCCATGGGGGGTGGGGGGTGAGGAGGGAGGGAACCGGGAGACCTCTGCTCAAGCCCCGAGGTGGAGTGTCCAGAGAGCGGTGAATGGGGTGAGGTGGGGAGCAGTCCAGCCTGGGGGAAGGGCTCAGGTGGATGATGGCTCAGGAAGGCCCAGGGCGAGCAGGGGCAGCGGCAGAGAACCAGTGTTGTGTGTCAGACTGGCTAGGGTGAGAGTCCAGGAGGCTGGCGGCAAGGACGGCCACCTGCAAGGTGGGCAGCGGGGCTCCACTTTACCCGCCCTGCGTGCTGCGGGGTGGGGCGTCCTCAGATTCTTTGCCAGCCCCCAGCGGGAGCCCGGCGGCTTTCTGAGACTTGCATGGCAGAGGGAGGGAGGCGCTTAGGGTGGTGGCAAGGGCAGTGGGGCAAGCCATGCACTACTGACCGGTGCTGTGCTTGTGGAGGGAAGGGGCGGCCCCTACCTGTCCGTTCTCCAGGATGGCTGCTGGGTACATGGCGCTGCTCGGGCGATCCCGGTGTGTGGGAAGCAGCAGCAGCATCTCCCGGGCATGGCGGTACTTATCTGGCAGAGAGGGAGAGCCTGTAACCAAGTGAGAACAATCACGCACAGATGACAGGCCACAGACGCAGGGCCCAGCTGGGCAGCGGGCAGGCAGGCGGCCCTTGCAGCCAGAGTGACGTGGGCTCAGCAAGCATGGAGGGATGACGCTGGGCCAGGCGGTTACACGGTGGTGGTGCTGGGCAGACGCACGGCAGGCGGGGGTTGCTGCCCCCTTCCCCGCCCGCAAGCAGAGTTGGGGATGGAGCCCAGCACTCTCAGAAGGCCGCGGCCTGGATGCTGGGCCCCCTCGAAGGCTGCTTGCTGTGAGGCCATCGCACAGACAGGACAGCATCTGGTTTCACGTGACACTCTATCTCCACACACTTACTTTTCTCCGGACACTATCTGCCTGGACCCCAGCTGGCCCCTACCACCCCTTCCCAGAGACCCCCCTCTCCCACCCACTAGGCCCAGAAGCTGGCCTCTGCCTGCCTGGCAGTCCTGCTGCTGCAACCCTGCTGTCAGCCAAAGCCCAGGGAATCTTGGGGATTTCCTGCTTGGAGATGGGCTGGCTCTTGAGTGGACTCGGGGCTCATGGTGCTAACTGGGGTCACTGGGCTCAGCTGTTAGGGGATCAGACCATGCCAGGTATGGGGTGGCCTGGTCCCCAGTGACACAGGCTAGGGAACTGCCAGCCTGTTGACCCTGAGGTGGTCCATCCCCAGGAGCAGCGAGAATTGCTTGCTTCTTGCAAATGGGCACCATGCATTGTCCAGGTCCCAGCCTGCCCATGGGAACCACACGGGGCATTTGGGCCCCTCCCTGAAGGGTCACCTGGAACACACTGCCCCCTTCTCAGCCAGGGGCAGCGGCTGGCTGGCTCAGTGGTCAGAAAGCCTCTTTGTGGTGTGGCCTGAGTGAAGCTGTGGGGTCCAGCGTAACCCCCGGGTGCTGGCCAAGAGGGGGAGCTGCAGCCCCTAGAGGCTCTGTGTCCCCAAACCCGGGGTCTCCGGAGCTGCCCTCTGAATATGCGATTCAGGCACAGGCAGGGGTCCCAGGCGAGGACTTCTTGTCTTATGCCTTTGGCTTCTGGAATGACCGCAGTTGCTGCCATCGAGTGAATTCTGACTCGCAGCAAACCCACAGCGCACAACAGCTGGTCCTGTGGACTTCGAGGCTGCAGATCATCCCAGGAGCAGAAAGCCTCGTCTTTCTCCCCCAGAGGGGCCAGTGGGTTCAAACTGCCGACTGCAGCCCCAGCCCAGGGAGCAACCCCCAAAGCTCCGCACCCAGGACGAGGCAGAGTCCGGGAGGCAGTGGTGCGATGGGGGGTCCAGGGGCCCTGCTGGTGGGGCCTTGGGGCCGGCTTAAGGCACTGGATAAACTTTATTGCTTCAAAGGAATCCTCTAGACCAGCGGTTCTCAACCTGTGGGTTGCGACCCCTTTGTGGGGGTGGGGGTGTCGAATGACCCTTTCACAGGGGCTGCCTGATTCTTAACAGTAGCAAAATGACAGTTAGGAAGTAGCAACGAAAATAATGTTATGGTTGGGGGTCACCAGCACATGAGGAGCTGTATGAGAGGGTCGTGGCCCGAGGGAAGTTGAGAACCACTGCTCTAGCCTGTCGCTGGACACCTCTCAGCGCTTACTGGGCAGCCTGGACTGTCCCTTTTTCAGAGAGATGCCCTCCAAACGTGCTCAGGTCCTTGTTTCCGACTGTGGTGGCTTTCTGACTTAAATGCAACGTCATTTCCTCCAAGAACGGCCTCCTCTCTCTGGGCTGGAGCAAGGGAACCAGCCACACGCATCCGCATGAGAACCTTCCAGATGTGCTTCTCACTCCAGAGGTTGCAGATTCAGCCAGAGCCCCGTTCTCCCAAATAACTACGCTGACGGGTCCGTGGGCACCCACCCAGCTCCTCTTGTCTGGGAAGCCCCGTGTCACCCCTTGGACCCTGTTCTGGGCACAGATGACTGGGGAGTGTGTGGGCTGTCGCCAGACCTGCCTAGGTCCCCCCCTTCCCTCTCCCCAGGTATCAACCCAGAGCCTCTTCTGTTTCTCTCCCAGGAGGCTGAGCCTCTCTGCTGATGTGACGGAAGTCCCTTCACAGTCACCGTGAGCCCGTCAGGGAGAGGTCAGCGGTGATGACATTCTCTGGAACGTCTGGTTGCTGAGAACGGTCTTGGTTTTTGCAAGAGATGGGCGTGAGGCGGCCCGGGGCCGGCCTGCCGGATTCCAGAGTGCTCGTAGAACCTGCGTTCTGTTGCCACGAACGAAGATATCCACACAATCCCAGGGAACTTAGGAGTGTGCCCGAGCCCAGCTGGCACAGCTCTGGGCAGGGCCCTCCCCCTAGAGCACAGTGCCAAACTAGCACATCTGGTGCGTTGGCGGGACCTGGGACACAGCCTCACTGAGGCTGGTCAGGGGCCCTGCCCTCCTGGAGGCCACAGCCTGACTCGCACCTCCCGGTCACCTGAAGGAGGGGCACAGCTTTCCGGCCATCGTCGAGGCCCAGAGGCTCCAATGGGGCTGGGAGGCATGGAGTGGGGGTCCCTTGGCTGCTCTAACAAAGGGGTATCGGTGCAGGAATGGCTCCTTTTTTATTTTATGGTGAATTTTCATGAGAACACCCCAAGAGCTCCGTGTCCACAGGGCTCCGTGAGCGGCTGGAGCTGTGGTCAGGGAAACTCCCCAGCAGGACTGCGCTGCTCAGAGCACCTTTCGGCACCTTTCCTGTCTCCACTGGAGGGAGCTGCCCACCTGGCCACGGGAGCCACCGCAGAGTGCCGGTGGGTGTGACAGGCAGGACACTGCTCACAGGACACTCTGGAGCCGGAGGAAGTGATTTCGAAGCACCCCTCCCCCGTCACTTTCTCCAGCAAAGCCTTCCATGAGAGGTCCGGGCGCTGTCTCGGGAAGCAGTGGCCGGTTGCACTGACAGCGATGGACCGTCTTCTCCAGCCGGCCGTCTGAACGCAACGTGCTGCCCTTCTCATGGACCCTGCTCTGGGTCCAGTGCTGGTGCAGCTCCCAGCCTCCCCCGCGAGGGAGGGGCAGCACGCTCCTCTCATCACTGCCCTCCCCGTTGACGTCCACAGCCGCTAACAGGAGCCCTGCCGCATCTGGTTGGGTCTTGGAATGCTGCTTCTGGTGACAGCAAGCATCATCCCAGGATGGGTCCAAGACTCAGGGAAAGACCGCGTGCAGGCGCAGGGTGACAGGCGGCTCAGATCCAGTCACTAAGCGGGCTCTCTTGGGTGTCCTGCTCAGCTGAGCCTTTAGGGGTCCCAGCCCCGGCTGACCTATGCCTGCTGGCAGCTCAAGAAGCCCCTTGAGTGTTCCATGAGCACTTCCGGCAAGCCCCAGGCCCAAGGTCGGGAGGCAGAGCCAACCGGGTGAGGATTGGTGAGGTGGCTGCCTGTGTCGCTCAAAGAACCTGTTTCCCCGCCTGGAGTGTGGGGACTGCTGAGCTGGACCCCGACCCTCTCCCCTCAGTCCTGTCACCTCCCCGTCACGCCTTACAGGTGGGAGTGCTCCGGGGAAGGCGGAGGCCTGTGCCATTTCTCTCTGCCGCCATCATGATAGACGGCCAAGGAACCGGCCCGCCACCCCACAACCTGGACAAAAGGGGCTCTGTCTGGCAAGCTCCGGGCCACTCGGGTTTGTTCCTGTCCTGCGGGGCCAACCCCGGGAGGCAGGAGACCTTGGCTACGAGGGCCATCTCCGCTCCACGCAGGCGTTTGCATCTAAGGCAGTGGTCCTCCAGCTCCCTCATGCCACAACCCTTTCAGACAGCGCCTCTTGTGGTGGTGACCCCCAACCATAACATTATTTTTGTTGCTACTTCATCACTGTCATTTTGCTACTGTGATGAATCGGGGGACCCCAAAGGGGTCACGACCCACAGGTTGAGAACTGCTGATCGAAAGGGACGGAGAACCAGATTTCAGCGCAGGACCAGGGTTGTGGCGTGGGAAGTTGGCCGGCTGTCGGAGAACGAGACGAGGGCAGCTGAGTAGGAAACCCGGCGGTAAGTGACACACTGCCCGGCTGTGGACGGAGCCTTCTCTCCTGCCCGGGCCCTTCTAGACTGAGGACAGCTGCAGGGTGGTGGTCCTTGGCACGTCCCAGGGTAAATTTTGGCCTTCACACTTGCTCTCCATACTCGGCCCTCAAGCCTGATCCCTTCAGACAAAGCCTTGCTTTGGTTGCAGCGCTGACCTGTCTGTGTGCAAACCTCTCGGTGGGAAGACGTGAGCGTCCTCCCCCGAGGGGGCGGGGGTGGGCAGCAGAGCTGTGCGCACTGCCCAGAGCTGAGCCCCGCCAGAGAGCCGGGGAGGGATGCACAAGGGTCCTTGGTGCTGACAGCACAGGCAGGGAGAGGAGGCTGCCAGCCGCCCTTACCTCGGGCACTCGAGGGGGCAGAGGTGACCATCTGGCACGGCGCGGAGTGGGTGGAGCTCAGGCTGGAGGAGGAAGGGCTCGCCTGGGACGAGGACAGCACAGACACGTTGGAGGCCGAGCCCTGGTGCCTGGGGCTGGGGTACGTGAGCTGCAAGGGCAGAAAGAGCCGCAAGGCGGGGTCTGAGTGGCCAGGACTGACCTGGGGGCCCGGCCCTCGGGTCACGGCCGCCTGTGTGGAGCACGGCAGTCGGGGCCCTGCTGCTGGGAAGGAGAGTGTCTTCCCCAGATGTCTGAGAGCAGCTGGGGCAGAAACCAGGCTTCCTTCTTGGGAAAGGGCCTGAGACTTGGGTCAAGGGAAGGGGCAGGGTGGGGGCTTCTGGCTCTGGGGGCGGGGGCAGGGCATGCTGAGCCCCCAGGGCCAGTTGTGGGGGCTGGCCTCCACGGAGCGGGTGGCTGGCAGAGGCAGCGGTGGGACCTGCATGTGGTGGTACAGCTCCTCGGGGGCCTCGCCCACGGTGCCGTCAGTCAGCATCACCACGTTCCCGGCCTCGCTGGACGCGTGTGAGGACACAGAGGACGACGAGTGCCGGCCAGTGCCCATCAACGTCATGGGGCTGCGAGAGAGAGCAGGCACAGGCAGGGGTCAGCCCAGGGCTCGGCCACTGGGGAGCAAGAGTGAGAGCCACCCCAGCCCCTGTGGTGTGGAGGGCCTCCAGCCGGCCCTCAGACCCACCCGAGCCCTAGAGACCTCTTTGGGCCTGCTGCTGCCGGGGGTGGGGGACGGCCAGCCTGGCCTGGCCGCTCAGACCCCTGCGAACAGCAGCACATGCTCACTGCACAGGGGGGACGGAGGCTCAGGGTCTCTAGGCCTCCGTGCAGTGGGCTAAGGTATTGGGCCCAAGGGGTTCTGTCCTGGGTCAGAGGGGAAGCTACCGGGACAGCGGGCCATGAACATTCCATCCAAGGCCACAGGACTGCCCAACTCAAGCTCACAACTCAGGCTGGGACACAGGCCGAGGGCAGGGCCCTGCACAGGCTGACTCCGAGCGCCTGGCCATGCTGGGCATCCTCGGGGAGCCCAGCAGCAGCAGGCCTGATTTGAGAGCGCCCACACTTGGACATCTGTGTCACCACACCATCTTTGCCCTCATAAAGCTCATAGGCCCGAGAGCTTGGGTGGACACAGCACACTCAGAGCTGGTCTAGGCCGCACCTGGGCACTGAGCAGTGCTGCCGCGCTGACCTGTTCACATCTTTTGTGCCTGGACCTTACTCCACCACGTTCCTAACCCCACCTCTCTTTTGCCTTCCAAGCTTCGACTACCTTTTAAGACATGCCACGATGCCCCCGGAGCTGGGGTAACACCGGGTGTAGGTCCTGGGCAAGGCTGGATCGGGTGCAGGAGGTTATGTGGCAGCACTATAGAGAGTTTCTGACCCTCTGACGGTGAGACTTGCCCATGTGGAGGGGCCCGCTCTGGCCCGGAGGCCGTACCTGTGCCGGTGGGTCATCTTGAAGCTCTCGGGGCTCAGGGGACTATGGGAAGCCAGGACGTTTCCCCGGGGTGTACTGGCGCCTGAGCACGCGGGACTTAGCTTGTCCAAGCTTGGAAACTCCTGTTGGGAACGAGAGGTGCCTTCACCAGGGTAGAATGAAGGGGCGGGGGGAGAGCTGGCCGTGGGGAAATGTATGTACAAAGGGGAAAAACCCCAAACCAAGAATCATCTACTGTTGACGGGACCTGACCTGCTAACTCCTATGGGCAGCGGGCCAGGCTGACCCTGTGCAGAGCAGCTGACAGGGACGCCTACAGAGGCGTGCTGCTGCTGCAGGCCATGTCCACTGAGAGGCAGGTCGCGCATGGGCATCAGTCACTGCCGTCTCTACACGAGGCTGGGGACCCCTGCACTTGACCATGGCCCCGCTCCGAGTGACCTGGGCCGAGTTTCTCGTGACACATTTTATGGGGAGATGACACAGAATCATTTTACAAGAGCCCAGCTCTATTTTGGCATCGTGAAATCCTCATGAGGGGCACAGACTTCTTGGCTGACCCCTTGCTTCCAGGCCCTCTCGGGCTGCCACAGGTTAGGAAACAGCTAATGGGCCAGCTCTGTCCAAGTCCTTTGAGATCTTAGTGCGCGGGCTGCCAGGCTGTATTGCTGGCGGGTCTGAGGCAGTGCGGGGAGTCCACCTCCCTGCAAAGCCTGAGGGCCCCACCGCCGGAGCCACCAGGGCTCCCTCACGTTGCACGTGGGGACCACGGAGCCCTGGCTCGCTGGCCTGCAGGAGGCGCTTTGGCTGCCGAGCCCGTCCCACAGCCAGGCCGGGTGGTTCTCGTGGAGCCACCAGCAGGAGGTGCTGTGGCTGAGATGTCATCGAGGGGCACTCTGTTTTGAAGAGGAAACCTAGAAGATGCCCTGGAAGTGCCAGGGGAGTGGCCAGGCGCTGTGCTGTGGGCTCACCTTGGGAAACGGCCACACCTGCCAGTCCAGAGAAATGCTGCTCTCTGGCTTTTCAGGCTGCCACCCACACGCGTGTGAGGACAAGCACACACCTGTGCTGGGTGGGGGGAGTGAGGTGGCCAGACCCACTAGCGGGTCTCTGTGGGCTGTGACCACCCCAGAAGGGGACGTGCTGTCGGAGGGCCTGGCCCAGCACTCAACAGCTGGACTCCCCTGCCTTCTTGCTGCCGCTCTTGGTGATGAGAGGGCTTTGTGCGGGTGCTAGGTGGCAGGAAGTAGCTTGCATGCAGCCCTGAGACCTGGGGACCAGCCGGTTACGCAGGAAGACTGCTACAGAAAGATCCTGGGTCAGCCCTATGGTTGACAATGGAGTGAGAGTATGAGAACGGAGGTTCTGTGCCACCTGAACCCAATCCTCACCTCTATCCACTAGCAGCAAGACTCCCCCCCCCCACCACTACCACCAGGGAACTGTGTCCTGCATCCACGTCCTCCCATGTGCACTGGCCAGATCCTGCTGTGGGTGCCCAGGCCAGGGACACGTTCCGGCGTTGGGGTCTGACCCCCAAACCTGCTGGTCCCTCTATGAGCAACCAACACAAAAGACGACTTTCTACACAAGGTTTTCTTGGGCCTGAGGCTGATCCCGGGCCACCAGACAGGTAGGCAGAGGGGAGGTTTTGTGTGTGTGTGTGTGTGTGTGTGTGTGTGTGTAGAGCAGGAGCAGAAGGGACAGGGAGGGAGAGGCGGGAGGCAGGGGAGGAGGGCAGAGGTAGCTCTAGGGATTAAAGAGCATGTCCCCGAGCCCTTGCAGGTGGACTGCCACATTCACCCTTCTCCTCCTCTACCCACTTTCCAGCGTGTTGACCTGGCTCCTTCTGAGGGTGTGGTGGGGTGAGGGACGCATGAGTCCCTGGGCCCAGCACCCGCCCCGCCTCCCAGCCCCCTGTGGGGAGGGACAGCTGCCCCCTCCAAAGCCCTCAGTCAACACTCTCCTTCGGCTGGCCACACTAGTCTGTGGGGGTGCCCAGCTCTGATGGGGCGAGTGGGGGGCTGTGGACAGTGCCATCTTACGTGGTGCAGGCTGGCCCGCATCATCTGGAACTGGTCGATGAGCTTCTTGTGCAGAGGCCGCATTTCTGGGTGGACAAACTTCTCGTGTACTGCCAGTCCGACACCCAGGACATGGACCTGTCAGGGCAACAGCCAGTTAGCCAGGCAGCGGCCCGAGAAGCGCAGCCAGGCTGGGGGCCCTGCCGGACACACCTGTTCCTGCATGAGCTCCTTGAGCTGGGTGATCTTCTCCGCGTCTCCGGGGTGCTTGGTGATGTAATCCTTATCGAAGAAGGCCTGTGAGAGTTAGGGCCCAGTCAGGCGGACTCCCAGGGGACCCTGGAGCCTGACAGTGCAGCCTCCTCACAGGAGCGAGGGTACCTGGCACCCCCGGGGCCTGAGCCTTCTGCAGTCACAGCCCTGCTCTCTGTGGCTGGGGAGCCCGAGGGTGGCCCAGGTATCCATGCCGTGATCCTTGGAGTAGGATGGCCTGGCCAGCCTGCGGTGTATGGAGGGCTGGCTGGGACACAGGCTCCTCTCTCAGGCCAGCCAGCAGCTCCCAGGCAGGTGGACTGCCCCGCCTGGCTGGCCGTGGTCGAGGTGGGAGTGTGTGTCCAGAGACCCCGCCAGAGAGGTGTGGCACAGCAGACGGAGTGGCGGGGAGGCTAGCCGGCGGGGCGGGGTGCACTCACCTCCTGGTAGCGTGCGATGCCCCCATTGACGGCAGCGTCGATGACCCCGTTCAGGCACATGCTGAGCAGGTTGACATTCCCGTGCACCTGCTTGTGCTGGTACTGGCTGATGAGGGCCCGCAGCTCCTGGTTCTTGTTTTCAACCACTTGAATGGCATTCTCCAAAGGGCTCACCTCCACCTGGGGGCACACAGCACAGGGCCCCCGAGGGCCGATGACAAGGGGGCGGCGCAGTCCCTGGGGCACACACGGGAGACGGAGATACGGGCTCCTCTATCGAGACCCTGAGACCCCGGCCCTTCCTTCCCTGTGTCTCCCTGGCGGCTCGGACAGCTGGAGAGCAGCACAGGGTGGGCCGCCCCACCTCTGAATCCGCCGAGTCGGCGCAGCACGCTGGCTGCTCAGACACTTGCTTCCCCATGGGTTAAACGCCCGACTGGAAATGCCCGCCTCGGGGTGTCAGGTGGATCAGCAGGGGGTGTCCACGAAGCCCCCAGAGCAGCACTGGCCTGGGGGAGGCCAGCTGTTCCGGCAGGTGGCCTGTGTGCTCTCGCCCTCTCTTGTCTTTGGAGGGTCCCCAGTGCTAGCCCCAGGGAACCGCTGTGACCTTCAGCCCCAACCGAGCCAAGTCTCACCAATTCCCGCCGCTCCACCTCGAACCACCTGGAGATGCCGGGCAAGCTGTGGGTCAGGGTCAGGGTGGTGCGTTCGATCCACAGGCTCTGCAGGGAGGGCACAGGCCGAGAAGTCAACCCTGGCCCAACCCCCTGCCTGAGGGACGAGGGGCCTGCCCTGGGCTCACGTGGGCACTGCCCCCAAACTCTGCCCCTTCTACCTCCATTTCCTCACCTTGAATTCATTCTCCTTGTCCTTGGGGCCTTTGTGAAAAGGCCGGTCGTACCGGAATTTCCTCACGTTGTTGACGCGGTAGAAACTTTTGACCCGGTCAGGCACCCTGTCCATCTGCAGGACGTGCACGGGGTCTGGGATGGGGGTCACCGCGTAGATCTGTAAGTCTGGGCAGGAAGTGAAGGGAAACCGGACTGGCGGGGAGGAGGTGGCGGGCAGGCCTGTGTCCTGTCCCCAGCCTGGCTACCTGCTTGCGCCCCCGCCCACGCCCACTCCAGTACTGAGTTTCTCCAGCACGCCCTCAAGGTCAGCACTCCACCAAGCGCTCTTTCCAGAGCTCTTTCAGGAAGCAGAGGAGAAGGGGCAGGCAGACGTGGGGTCCTAGCCTAGCGCACCAAGGGCGGAGGCTGGAAGGGCCCGGCCTGCCCTGCAAAGCCACCTGCAAAGCCACGGCTCATGAAGAGAGCAGGTGGGAGCCAGCTTAGACTCGCCTCTCTGGATGCGTCTGCCGCAGCCATGGGGGCTGCCCTCTGGTCTCCAGGGGGACTGTGGAGGGGCAAGGCAGGGGATGGGGTGGAGGGGGCAGCCACAGTGGCTTTCAGACTCGGTGCTTCAAGAGCACAGGCCCTGGCCAGTCCGCCAGACGACCGGGGGCCTGAATGGCACAACCGGAGCAGGGCAGGCCTTCACCAGGCAGGGTGAGGCCAAACTGCTGGCGGCACCACCTAAGGGGCAGCAGGTCCACATCCCAGCCCTCCTACGAGTCCACTGCCGCTCCGAGGCTCTGTGAAGGGGACGCTGTCTGCAGCCTTGAGGCCGGCCGGCTGGGTGGCCACCCCCACCCCCACCCCCACCCCGGGCCGCTAAGGTGCAAGGATACACTGGGCGTCGCACTGCAGGATGGCGTCATCAGGGTGGTTTGGGTGCTGCATGGCCACGGCCTGCGGGAACTCGCTGAGCATCCTCTGCTGGAAGGCCTCCAGCCGCTCGTAGTCCTGGCCTCGGCACACGTACTCCTTGTTCTGCCGAGACAGCACAGCGCTGGGGCCCTCTCACCCCACAGCGCCCTTGCCCCAGGGGGCTGGATGCTGGGGGTCGGGGAACTGTACCGGGAGAGGCGGCCACCCTGGGGTGGGGCGTGGGGTGGCGGCAGGGAAGGTTCTCCAGGGACCGGGTGGGCTGGGGGAAGAGTCAAGCTTGCAAGTAGCCCTGGAAGGAAGCTGTGGGCTGGCCTGGTGGAGAAGAGTGGGCAGGGCCGGCAGGGCCAGGGGAACGCTTCCGGGAGGAGTTGGAGCGGCTGGAGAAGGTGCCTGTGCAGGGCTGGTGAGGGAGGGCTGAGGGTCAGCGTGGAGCCACTGGTGCCATGCCGCGGCCACCACTTCCGGGAGGGTTGCATAAGGGAGTGATCAGGTGTGTGTTTCTGAAAGATCTGTCAGCTGGGAGCAACAGCCTAAATATCGCCCAGGAGGTATGCAGGAACTGTTTAGTGCGCTCATCAATCCCTTTGGCAACCATTTCTTTCTTTGGCAACTATTTCTTTTGCAAAAGTGTCAACAGAGCAAACAGACACAGTTCTAAGGACCCATTGAAGCCACGTCACAGCTTGAGTTGGTACTCAGCGTTCCTCTCTGCGAGCCAAGTCACGGCCAAGCCCGGTCCTACCGCTCCGCCCACCTCACAGATGGGCCCCAGGAGTGGCTGGAGCAGACCTGTCTGCAGCCCGCGGTGACATCTGCCTGTCCACCCGGCTGTCAGCACCTCCTGACATGTTTTCAGAAGAGGAGAATGAGCGAGAGACTCCCTGGGGTCAGCCAGATGCGGCCCAGGCCGGGGCTGATCCCGGGGCTGCCCTCAGGTGACCCCGACCTTCCCAGGAGCACCTGCTGTGGGAGAACCCGACCCAGGCTGGGCCGCATGTGGGCATGGGCGGGTGGGGTGGTGGTGGTGGTGGCGATGGAAGGCCACGGATATTTTGAGTCAAAAGATAGTTGTTGTTTTTCCAGGCCTGCTTGTTAAGCCAAGAAAGCCGTTGTGAGAATTGCCCTCTCTGTGCAGCCCCAGAGAGTGCTGTTCATGGGTCAATGAAGGGCTCCGGAGCGCCCCAGGATCAGGGCCGTGTGTCCCTCTCCTGGCAGATAGAGGATAATCGGGAGGCAGACAGATGGTCCAGAGGATGCAGGCTGAGAGCGCTGCTGTGGTAGATGGTCTCTGTGTGCAGGGATGGTGACCTTGAGGCTGGCTGTCAGGCTCACCTTCACCCGGGCAAGAGTCCCAGCCAGAGAAGGCCCGGCTGCCACTGCCGTGCACGCTGTCCTCCCATCTCCAACGCAAGGGGTGGGGGAGGGCGTGTCCTCCTCCATCCTGGGACCCGCAAAGCCACATCTGAACATCCAGACTGCTCCCTGAGCGCAATGCCTGGAGGCACTGGGATCATAAGTGGTGGGAACCAGCCTGAAGCAGGGCGGAGCACTCCAGCTGGTCTGGGACAGAACTGGAAGCCTGGTTTGTAATATCCCAAACAGGGCGTTTTAGAGTGAAGTGGGAGGACTGCTGATGCACCAATCACGGGACTCTCGCTGTCACGCAAACTCCCTGCCATCGAGTCGCTGCTGACTCACAGAGGGAGACCCTGGACGGTGACGGGGCAGCACTGCCTCTGTGAGCTGCTGAGACGGCAGCTCTTTAGGAGAGCAGAAAGCCCTGCCTCTCCCCCCAGAACATCTGGTGGTTTCAAACTGGGGACTGTGCGGGTAGCAGCCCAATGCATACCCAACATGCCCCCAGGTCTCCTCGTTAAGAGACTAGAAGGGCGGAGTCCAGGGACGGTACGGCCCGTTCACAAGGGGAGATTAAAAAGGCACCCGGTACAGGCCTGAGGCAGAACCTGGACCAAGGACTTGGAAGAGATGCTTCTGGTTTCTGATCCATGCAGATTCATTATCCTCTCCTGTGGGCTCTACCCTCCACTGCTGGCAAGGACTGTCAACGGGCTGCTTCCCAAACCCCTGGGCGGAACCGAAGGGAGGCCAGCTCTCCTGGGAACGTCCCTCTACCAGTTCTACTCCTAGGGACACTACGTGTGCTGGTACTGGATCACAGCCTGCCTGGGCATCACCAGGCGTTGGAGCATGCCTGCCGTCCCTGCCAGGAACACTGGTTCCCCACAAACCACTGTTCCCAGGACAGGGGCAGGCTGATGGGCCTGACATCTGAATTATGGTTGGCCTGGACGCTGCTGCTGGTCCTTCAGTAGGAGGGGATCCCAGCATAGCAGAGGGGTCCACAGCTGTTCCCACAGCTCCCCCATCACTTCAGCAAGAAATCGGATCTGGGGATGATGAGGGCGCCTCCTGGGTCTCAGCGGCTGGCAGGGAGACCCTCGAGAAGCAGTATCTCTGCCGGACCGGCCCACAGGTCTGGTCCAGCCTGACGGTGCGGAGGGTGCAGAGCCAAGGAGAAAAGCACCCAGTCCCATTCCTTCCACCCAGCGGCTGGGGGAGGTGGAGGGCGCCGGCCACTGCCACCCTGAACCAGAGGACGGGCTTTGGACAGAGGCCTGCTCTGTTTGGCCATGGACTGTCTTCTGTGTGCTCTGCTGTCCGGGCTGCATAGCAGCCAGCAGCCAGGGTGGAGGAGTCCTGGTGCTGGTGGCCCGAGTGGGGCGGGGGTGGGTGGTGGGTGTGGGTGGGCGTGGTGAGCCTGTGAACAGACCCTGGGGAGCCTCAGGGCCCAGCCACTCAGGCAGGAGCTCACTTGACTGGGTCATAAAACCTCCCTACAGGCGACGACGGAGGCATAGAGCACATTAAAAAAAAAAAGGGTCTGGAGTTGGCAGTCTGTCCCTCTGTCCAGTCCAAATCTGCCATCTGTCTGCTGAGCGCTCAGTCCATGGACAGAGGTGTTCAGTGGAACAGGCAAAAGGGCCGGAGCGGCCAGGGCGCTGGAGGGGCAGAGGGAGGGAGGGAGAAGCGTGCACTCACCCGAAGGAAGAAGGGGAACTTCCTGCCGTAGAAGCCCACCCTGAAGAACTCGGGCTCCAGGCGCTGCTGCTCCATGATGCTGTCGTAGTAGCTGGCCTCCGTTTTCTGAGAACGAGAGTGGCCTTCAGAGCGGCCCCACTGTGCAGGGCCTCAGAGCGGGTGGTCCCACGCTCCCAGGTGGCCGCTGGCCACTGGAGTGGGAGCATGGCCGCTGGAAAGGAGGAAGCAGCCCCCTTTCCTAAGGGCGCTGCTTCCTGGAGGAGGAGGAGGAGAAGGGTGCCTTGCAGGAGGAAGGCAGCAGCTGACACAGTGGGATGGGGACACCCTGCCCAGCCCCTCACAGATTCACTGGCTCTCAGTGCTGACGGACACTCATTGCAGGGCCTGCTCCTGCCTGGTACTGTCTGTCTGTCTGTAGCGGGCTAGCAGCAGCTCTCAGCTCCAATTTGCAGCAGTTCCCTGGGTTGCACGGCTCTGGCTCACCAAGGTCTGACTAGAGATGCCAGGGGCATCACCGACACTGGTCTCCCTTTCGGCGAGCTTAAGTGCTGGACGTGAGCTAACACGCACAGTGTCTGGCACTGTGTCGAAGGAGGCTCCGTGGTTCAGCCTCGATTGACGGGGCTTCCGGTTCTGCACCGCACACTGTTCCCGCGCTGTCGGGCAGGGAGCGGCAGTCCTCAAAGGCCTGTCAGGGCTGCCTTGACCAGCCCTTCTCAGAAAGGACTGACTCAGTGACCCACTGGCCTGAAACGTTGACCTGGGAGACCACAGTCCAGGGTCAAGAGCAGGTAACTGGGTTTGCAGTCAACCTGGATCTTTCCAGAGCCCCAGGGAGCAGTACTGCCCCTTTGATTAAGGTCCAAATCCACATCTTTGATCAGGGACAGAGGACAGTGAGCCACACAGATGCTAGGGGTCGGGGTGGTTAGCTGTGAGGCCGACCTCAGCACCCGCACTCAGAAATAGACAGGTTGGTGGAGTCTAAAGTCTCCGGGGCACCCAGTGGAACATCTGCATATCCTACCTTCCAAGAACGGGGGCGGGGCTTAAGCGTGAGCACAAGCCAAAGCAGGTATAAACTCTGATTCAGGGTGTTTTGTTGCCCACCCCCCACCCCCTGTGCTGCCCCCCTGAGCAAAACCAAGTCGGAGAAAACTTCACAAAGCAGAGCTTCATGAAGTGACTTCCTCCTCCTCGAAATGCCACCTTTTCCTGCCCCTGGCCCCCTAGGAGACTGTAAGAGTCTCAAGGCTTCTGCCGCACCTGCACTACCCGCAGCACTGTATCAAAGCAGGGCCCTGCGTGAATCCGGCCGGCCGGAGCTGGGGAAGGGGCGAGGCTCACCCGGATCCAGCTGAGGCTCTGGTAGTCGTAGAGGCTCTCATACTGGCAGGCCAGCTCCCGGCACAGCGGGATCGCAAACTCCCAGCTCTGTTTGGGAAGAAGGCACTCTCAGGACGCTCCAACCGGTCACCCAGCTCCAAGGACATGCTCCAAGGCCTCCCGCTGGCTCCGACTGGCACAGCGTGGAGGGTCATTTGTGGAGCATGGCACCGAGCGCAGATCCTGGTGGCCTGAAGCTCCTCTTCCAGGGCTCCGTTTATAGGCTGCCACTCCCAGAGCCCTCTGGCCTCTGCCCCCACCCACTCTCGGGATAGTCGTGTCAACCATCATTTAGGCTTTGGTGTCCTGATCCCAGTGAGATGATACAGAGAGCACAGGACCCTGCTTGTTGTGTTTGTCCCTCCTCACGCACGCATGGACGCACCGTGCAGGTTCATATCACCGTAGCAGTGTAACACACCAACGATGCCAGGAGAGGCCGGCTTCTCAACCAAGACCCTCTACGCACGCCCCTGGGTCAGCCTGGAAGTCACTCGGGTGACGTGGTTGCAGATGGACAAGGGTCTGGTGAGGGGCAGTGACTTCCGTGGCGGGCCGGCGGGCCCCTGTCCCCCTCCTCTTCCTCTCAACACGGGCCTGCTCTCTTGGCTAGCTCTGTGGTCACCAGTGTGCTCCAATGTGTGGATAATACTTAGAACGTAAATGAGAGGGACCCCATCCTCTAGGATGAGAGGGGTGGGAGGAATGGGTCCCTAGGTACCCAACAGCCAGCCTCGTCAATGACCCACCCCACGCCCTGTTCCGAGGGAGCCCCGTGTCCGACTCCGTGGCAAGGGTGTTCCCACATACTCTGTGGGATAGCACCAGAGCCAAGGCCTGCACGGGCCTCTGTTTTCTCAAACGGAGCCTACCCTTGCTACCCTCTGAAGGAACCGGTGCCCGTATGGATGGCCCTGCAGGGCCCAGGAAGAAGCCTGGGACAAGCCAGCGGAAATTTCAGGTGTGCCTGGAGTCAAAGCCCTTGCCTCTTCGGCGGACGGACGGCTCTGCCCCACCTGGCGGGCTTCCTCTCAGCAGCACCCCCCTGCTTCAGTGCTGCTCGGCAGGACCCCGCCCCCCCTTGTAGCGGAGCCACGGCAGGGCCTCCTGGGAGGCAGTTCGGTGGGGGCTGGCAAGGCAGCTGTGCTTTTTCAGCCGGCCTGCCAAGAGCTGCCCCTTGGGGGACGGTTCATTAGATGATGAGGCCTCGGAGGGGGGTCGGTGGGGGGCGCTGAAGGCCCTCTGCCTGCCAATAGCAACTCCCAGTATAGCACGGCTTCTCGCCCGGTGCCATTAGTGCTTATCTGGCTTGGTCTCACTGTCCGAGGCTGTGGCCCTGTTGCTACCAAGGCCTTCCCGCTGATCCTTAGGAGCACGAGGGTCAGCCGCAGGGCAGCCTTGGGAGTTGTGCGGGTACACTGGGAGGGCTGGGGCTGAGAGCACTCCCTCCGCCCATGGTGGAGAATAGGCGGACAGACAGGCTGCAGCCCCCCCTATGGCCTGCTCTTTGGTCCCCCCTTCAGATAAGAGGCAAAGCCAACCCTGAAACTGCTTATGGGTATGAACACCGCCCCCCTCACCAATGCTTTCAGA